GAGTGAGATAGAATAGCTTGTTTCTTACTATGCTATGAAATAAGAGAGTTACTAAGAAAGAGACAATAGCCAGTAGTGGATCTTCGATCTGTAAGATCACCAGCCCAATTAGCATCTGAATATGCACGAAGGACAAGGGAGGAATGAGCTGAGAAGTAAAGTCCATGAAATAGTGTTCCCTTAACATAGCGAATAATACGAAGTATAGCAGCATAATGAGTGGAGCAAGGGGCAGCCATAAACTGACTAACAACATGAACTGCATATGCTATGTCTGGGCGTGTCATAGTAAGATAAACCAAACTACCAACCAACTGTCGATAACGAGTAGGGTCAGGGAGTGGAGAACCATCTAATGGTATGAGCATAACATTCGGTTCAAGAGGTCTGGAGACATTCTTACCATCAGTGAGACCGGCTTTAGATATGAGATCTGATGCATATTTCATTTACGAGAGAAGATAACCATCATTTGAGAATGTAACTTCAAGTCCCAAAAAATAACTCAAAAAGCCAAGGTCTTTCATCTCAAATTTGTGGCTGAGAAACTGCTTAAGCTCATCAATCCTTGAAACATCATCTCCAGTGATAATCATATCATCAACATATATGAGTAAGAAAACCATTCCCTTAGCAGATTTATGGACAAATAAAGCTGTATATAGAACTGAATTTTGCAAACCAAGCTCAAAGAGATTGCTTTAAACCATATAAGGCTCGTCGCAATTGACATACCTTATTCGAAGGATGAATAAGTCCAGGATGCGGTTTCATATAAACCTCCTCTTCCAAATCACCATTAAGAAAGGCATTCTTCACATCCATCTGAAATAGTTTCCATTTACGTATAGCAACAATAGCTAGTAAACTGCGTACTGTGGTAAGACGAGCAATAGGAGCAAAGGTCTCCCCATAGTCAATGCCATATTCCTGCGTAAAACCCTTTGCCACCAGGCGTGCCTTATAGCACTCCATAGATCCATCAGAATGAGTTTTGATCTTGTATACCCACTTGCATCTAGCGAGAGTCTTTTCAGTAGGAAGATCAATCAAGTCCCAAATACCTATCTTTTCCAAAGCCTGTCATTCCTCTTTCATAGCTTGTTGCCATAGAGGATCTAAAGAAGCTTCCTTGTAGGACTGAGGTTCATGTAAAGAGGTGAGTGTGGAAAAACAATGATAATCTTGAAGATATGTAGGTGGATTTCTTACCCACATAGGATGACTAGACGAGGAAGTAACTGGTGGATTTTCAATCTCATTTGTTCCAGGTGCAATATCCGCAAAAGAGACATCTTCTGAAATAGGAGCCGTGGGAGTTTGATCATTTGAAAGCTCATTAAGAGACCTTGCATCATCATTAGGAAATAACTCAAGGGATGGATTAGTGAAAATAGGAGGTTGATGAGAAAGAGACACCTTGAATTCAAAAAGAGAAGCAAACATAGTGTGTTCCCAAAAAACAACATGACGAGAGATACGGAGTTTTTGTGATACTGGATCCCAACAACGATAACCTTTATGTTGTATCCCATACCCAAGAAAACAACAAAGTTGAGCTCGAGGCTCTAACTTGTGATGTTCATGGGAAGGTAAAAGAACAAAACAAGCACAACCAAAAATTTTAAGAAGATCATAGGTAGGAAGAATATCGTAAAGACACTCATAGGGAGATTTATTTTGTGTGACAATAAAGGGGACTCGATTTGTGACATAGATAGCTGTAAGTGCAGCTTCACCCCAAAAACGCTCAGGACATGAAGAGGAAATCAAGAGAGCACGAACTAAGTCCAAAATATGACGAAGTTTTCACTCAACCTGCCCATTTTGCTGAGAGGTATATGGACAATATCTTTGTTGTATTGTGCGCTGCTCTTTAAGAAAAGACTGAAATTTAGAATCGGGATATTCAAGAGCATTATTAGTTTTCAAGACCTTGATAGTTTTAGAGAATTGAGTCTTGATCATGTTAGCAAAGTCAACATAAATTTGAGGTAATTCTGAGCGTTTTTTCATCAAATATAGCCAAGTGAAGCAAGAATGATCATCAATAAATAACACAAAATATTTTGAACCACCCATGGTAGGAGTGGGAGATGACCCCCATATGTTAGAATGTACTAAATCAAAAGGTGCAAGTGAAATGGAATCACTTTTATTAAAAGATAAAGCAGGCTGTTTAGCAACTTGACATGAGACACAATGTAAAGACTCTTCTTTAATAGAACCTAAAGACCCATTTTGAATTAAAGGATGAAGTTTACTAATAGAGGCATGACCAAGATGAAGATGCTACAATTGCAACGAGGAAGATGTTGAGACTACACACAACTGGGAAACGTAACTAGAAGGGATGTGCAAGGAGGTGAGCTCAAACAAATGTCCAACTTTACGGCCTGTCCCAAGAATCTATCCCATCTGTGGATCTTGCACACGACAACCATGAGTAGAGAATATTAGTTCAAGACCAAGTTCACACAGTTGTCCCACAGAAATAAGATTGAAAGAAAGTTTTGGTATCAGGAAAGTGTTTAGTAGGGTAAGGGTAGAAGTAGAAACTTGACCATATTGGCTAACTTGCATTTGTGAACCATCAGCAGTATGGATAGGAGGTGCAGTGGTATTAGGAGTTAATGTAGAAAAAAGTGTAGAGTTGGAAGTCATATGATTTGTAACAACTAGAGTTAAAAATCCAAGAAACTTTACCTAGGATGGTAGGCAAGGCAGTAAATGTAGAGGAAGATGATATCATCTGTCTAAGAAGGGTTTCTAGATTACCAATCGAAGGATAGACTGAGGAATCCTCATTGGCAGTAGTTGCAACAACCACAGGCTTGGAAGACTAATCAAGCTTTGATTGGGTCTTCCACTGATTAGATCTCGAAGGTAGTGAAGTAGTACAATTAGGCGCAATATGGCCTTTTTGCTTGCATTTATAACATTCTACCAAACTACATTCATATATAGCATGTCCATATTTGTTACAATGCCGGCAATACTTCTGTCCTTTCTTACTCGAAGCAAACTTGTTGATAGTTGCAGCCACAGTAGTATCTCGTTGAGGCTTAAGTACGCCCAGACGAGTTTCATTAGATAATAATCATGAAAGAGCACTATCCAAGCTAGGTAAAGGAGACTGATGCAATAAAGAGGCTCTGCATGGTTCAAAATCATCAGTAAGTGCCATAAGAAATTGAATTAACCTCATTTTATCACGATACTCAATGTACTTTCCAATATCAGCAGTGTCATTGAAAGTTGGTTCTAAGAGAGCAAGCTGATCCCAAATAGCCTCCATCTTAGCATAAAAACTAGCAATGGACTCTCCATGTTCTTGTTGCAAATTGTGTAACTCTTCCCACAATTGATGTTGACTAGATAAATCAGAAGTGGTATACCTGACTGCAAGCAAATCCTACACTTCCTTAGCTGTTTTATACCATCCAAACTGAAGGTGAATGGAAGGAATTGAGGTGTTACAAAACCCTGTGATGATCTGATGATTTTTGCTATCTCAATCCTCCAGACGGTCAACATACTTCTTATCTGTCTCATCAATAACTTGTTGTGGAAGTGTAATGTCACCAGTAATATACCGTCATAATTTCCAACCCTTCAAGAAACTGTGCATACTTTGAGCCCAGAGTATGTAATTTGAGACATTTAAAATGGTTGAAATTGGTTGGGAAATATCGGATTTCTCCATAATAATAAAAAAGAGGATATGCTGTAAATAAAAGAAAATCTAACCAAGAAAAACACCGACTTGAAGTGGAACATCGAAAAAAAATGGAAGCAATTTCAGATGGCAAAGATCTGCACAGCGGTAATTTCGGATAGCTTGCTTGTGAAAATCTCTGTGAAAGATCAAAGAAACTCGTAAAAGAAACAGCAGCAATCATAGCAACCAAATCCAAAACCGATATATGACTGGAACACGCGATGCTGGCCGGCACAAAAAATATGAAGGAAAATTAGAGGCACAAAACCTAAAGAAGAACGACAGACAATAAAGAGCTTAGAAAGCTCTGATACCATGTGAGGAAATAAGCAAGAGAGAAAAATATGAAGAAAATACTTTTCTTGATTCATTTGAATAGATAAAGTGCCTATTTATAGACTTGTACAAGAGAATATTCTATGGTATAAAATCAATTAATCTAATTATGTTAATCAATTATAATGTGAATATAATTATAGCAATGTAGATATAATCAAGGGAGAATATTCTGTAACAAATCTAATTAATAATTTTTGTCCAAAAGTAAAAGAAAGAGATTTGGTTCATACATCTTGCTGGCCATCACAATATGTCGTGTATCAATTCCTGTATAAAGACCTCTTAATATGCCCTTTCCTCTGCGTTTGAAGGCCATGACAACCTACATAACAACATAATTAGCAACACTAAAATTCGAAAGTTAGAGAAGAAAAGACATCATACCAGCCTTCGAGCATCCTAAAAGCCTCTCCTTTTCTCTTAATACCTTTGAAAATAAATAACAAACTAAAAGGATTACCACAAAAATTGGATGCACAACCCTGATACACGATGAATGGGAAGTAAAAATGTGACCAACTCCTAGAAAAACCGCGTCCAATAACTCCACAAAGGAGCCTGGGGAAATGAAGTCCTGATTGTCTACATATGACAAACAACTGACGGATAATGGTGGAGTAAACATTCAGGCAATAAGACCCTTGTAATCAAGGAAGATTGAGTCCCATCTGTTCCATCTTATTAATTTTGCATGACACAAATTCATTCTCTGATCATGCAAAAGCCAAATACTTACCTCCTCTAGTGAAACATTTCCAGCCCTTTCACCAATGCCATTGATTGTTACTTCCACTTGCCTACCGCCTGCCGCAACCCGTGAAATGGAGGGGAATAAGATGTGAGTGCTATTTTAGTTAGAGTTCCTCGGGAATTCAATAAGGATGATGATGAAGAAGAGGCATACCGCTAGTGTGTTGTCACTGGCATGTCCAAGATCATTTTGGCAGTCTGTTGAAATAATAACATCCACAATTCCAGGAGTGTTGGCTTTTATGGCAGCAATAACTGTCAAAACTCGTTAGGCAAAGTTATACCAACAGCATCAGGAATGTTTAGAGTTGTTGCTCAAGCCTTGACGGTTTCCCATGCAGATCTGATATCATTCTCCTTACACCTAGCCAACCCACATATAACCGGACATAACCAGTCTCATCCACGGTGTTACGCACCTCCTTGGTAATAGTCTTCACCGCCTCGAAGTCATCTTTGAAGACAGCAAGGAAAAGCCAGCCTCTATAATGTTAACGCCGAGCTTGGCAAGCTGACGAGCTAGGTCTAACTTCTCCTTGGAGATGAGAGTGGCTCCAAAGGGATTGCTCACGGCCCTGGAGGGTGGGTAATACCATGGATGAGACTGGTTATGTTTTGGTTTAGTTGGGATCTGGAATGTGAGTAGGGATGTAGTCGGGGCGGGGGCCGAGCGAAGGGTAGGAATTGAGGAAGCAGGAGATGATAGAGGTCTTGAGGAGGGAGGTGGAGGGAGGGGATCAGAAGTACAGAGAAGAAGGTGGAGGAAAGGGGGATGATTTGGAGGAGAGAGAGGGAAAGGGAGAAAATTTTGGGGGAAGTGAAGAGAGAGGAAGCCATTGAAGGCAGAAGGAAGGAGGCCAGAGGAGGTAGAGGAGGAGCCTTTGTTTTTCATTTGTCACTGGGAATGAATATATAATAGGCGAGTCCACCAAGTGACTTATTTCGACCCTGCACACCTAACACTTGAGCTGGATTTGTCTTTTGGCGCAAGTTTTTTTAAGGAGTGGATCATTGGCAATTCTTAGTCTTTTAGAATTACTAAACTCCGATTTTTTTTTTTGAAAGAAAACTAATCCAAGTTGAGTTCCAGTCATTGCCTAGTGCCAGAGTGGTCGTGTTACTGAAGCTTGCAACACATGGAATAAAGCGGAATTTGGGAATATATATATTCGGGCGTAAACGGCCGACTAGATTAAATGGATTAAAAAACATAGGGTTTTCCAATTCTATACTTTAAAACAAGAAGTTAAATTTTATTAATTATAAAATTTATAATTAATTTTATATTAAATTTTATATTAAATTTATATATTTTTTTAATGATTTTAAATATAAATATTATATTATATTTTAAATTTACATTTTATATTTTATTTTAATTAAATTTAATATAAAAATTTATACAAAATTAATTAAAATTATTGTATTTAATATAATTTATCAGGTCCACTAAAAATATAGGATAAAAAATTCCAAGAATATATACCTCATTTATTGTCCATCTTAAAACTCAGCGAATATATCCAGCACTTGGTGGCCTCTGGAGGCTACCTTCCTCAAAATGTGTTTAGAATATAATGACTTGAGTTTTATATCTAAATTCCCTTTTCCGAAAATTTCCTTACTGTTTAAAAAAAAACTCAGCGAATATATTCGTTTCTTACTCTTGCATTCATCTATCGCACGTCTCTTTTTACCTAATTCATCGTGATCATTTACTCAACAAAATATTTAAAAAAAAAAATAGGGTTTTCAAGATGGTGTCACCACCAAAGCCACATCCTCCTCCGCGCTGAAATTG